AGGTAGGTATGAAATAAACCAACCCACCCAATACCCTGGAGAACAAGATAAAATTAATGAAGATGATCATATTCCTCCATCTAGCTCTTCTCAACATTTCTTTTTTTTTTTTTTTTAAGATTTATTTATATATTGGAAAGTCAGATATACAGAGAGGAGAGACAGCGAGGAAGATCTTCCATCCGATGATTCACTCCCCAAGTGAGCGCAACAACCAATGCTATGCCAATCTGAAGCCAGGATCCAGGAACTTCTGGGTATCAGGGTCCCAAAGCCTTGGGCAGTCCTCAACTGCTTTCCCAGGCCATAAGCAGGGAGCTGGATGGGAAGTGGAGCTGCTGGGATTAGAACCGGTGCCCATATGGGATCTTGGGGCGTTCAAGGCGAGGACTTTAGCCGATATGCCATGCCGCTGGGCCCTCAACATTTATTTTCAATGCAAAGGTTCTGTTGTGTATATATTTCGTCACATTTCTAGGACTTTTCCCTATGCTATTATAAACTATGTATTTTTCAAAAACTCCTATATAATAGATTAACAGGTAACTGATTTTTAAATATATTTTGACTTTTTATTCTGTGATCTTGATAAGTTTACTCATTAGTTCTTAGAAAGTAGGGTTGTTTTTTAGGCTTGTTCCTGTACACCGCCATGTTGCCTACTAGTATTGCAGCTTTCCCCCAGGGTAATCCTTCTGTTTTCTTGGCTTATCAGGCTGGCTGGGTTGCTAAGTCGAGGTGCGATAGTGAACATTCATCTTAGGGAGAATGACATAACCACTTCATTGAGGTTTACTGTAGCTTCTGTTGATATTTTTAGATTAAGAATGTTTCTTCTAATCCAGATTTTCAAAGTTGTTTTAAACATCTAAGAGTGTGACTGCTTTGCATAGGTTGGCTGTCAATTATTTTACCAATCTTGTGCTTTTTTCTTTTTGTTATTTTTTAAGACTTATTTTTATTGGAAAGGCAGATACACAGAGACGAGGAGTGACAGAGAGGAAGATCTTCCGTCCAATGATTCACTCCCCAAGTGGCTGCAACAGCTGGAGCTGAGGCAATCCGAAGCCAGGAGCCTGGAGTCAGGAGCTTTTTCTGGGTCTCTCACATGAGTGTAGGGTCCCTAGGCTTTGGGGCATCCTCGACTACCTTCCCAGGCCACAAGCAGGGAGCTGGATGGGAAGCAGGGCTGCCAGGATTAGAGCTGGTGCTCATATGGGATCCCGGGCATGCAAGGCGAGAACTTTAGCCACTACGCTATCGCGCCAGGCCTTTGTGCCTTTTTCAATAAGGTCAATTGAGATGTACTGCCATTTTTATAGAGTTGATGTGCTTATTTAGGTTGCAGAATTATTTAGGGGACCCAGGATTTTCCTACCTAAAAATGCTGCAGAACAGTGTATTGAAGGTGAAGAAGAAAATCTAATTGTAGTCTGGATCTTTTTGTGCCATAAGACAGCTACAGAAATTAAATCTTTCATGTGTTCAAAATTCAATCAGATGTGTGTATGGTCCATTGGTATCCAGTTTCAACACTTACCGGTTCCTGTTAAGCGCCATGTTTCACCACAACCCCAGCTTCAGCACACTTGCTGTTGGCAGCTAACTCTTTTTCACACAGAGACACAAACTGGGAGTAAGGTTCTGAGCCTTCTTTCCCAGAGTTACAAGTGATACTGCATGCTTCTTCCTTTTACTCCCCAAGTGAGCACAACGGCTGGAGCTGCGCCGATCCAAAACCAGGAGCCTGAACTTCCTCCAGGTCTCCCACATAGGTGCAGGGTCCCAAGGCTTCAGCCATCCTAGACGTCCTTCCCAGGCCACAAGCTGCCAGGACTAGAACTGGTGCCCACATGGAATTCCGGCGCATTCATGGTAAGGACTTGAGCCGCTAGGCCACCATGCCAGGCCCAGGGCCATATTCTACTGCTTTCCTATGCCATAAGCAAGGAGCTGGATGGGGAGTCGAGCAGTCAGGATATGAATTGACACCTATGTGGGATTTTGGTGCTTGCAAGGTGAGAATTTAGCATTGAGCCATCTCACCAGGCTCAGGCTGGGAATTTTCACATTCATGGGAGAACAATTTTCCTTTCCTGTGATTTCTCTTTTAAAAAGATTTATTTAAAAGGCTCTATGCATATGAAAGAATCGTTCATCCACTGACTCACTCTCCAAATGGTCACAACTGCAGGAGCCAGGCTGGTCCAAAGTCAGGAGCCAGGTGCTACATCCCGGGTCTCCCATGTATGTACAAGGGACCCCAATTTTTTTTTAAAAAAAATTAACATTTTTTACTTTTCTTTTAAAAGATTTACTTATTTTTATTGGAAAGTCATATACAGAGAGAAAGCTCTTTCATCCGTTGATTCACTCCTCAAGTTGTTGCAATGGCCAGAGCAGAGTTGATCCGAAGCCAGGAACCAGGAGTTTCTTCAGGGTCTCCTGTGTGCGGGGCCCACCAGGGTTAGAACTGGCACCCATATGGGATCCTGGCTCATGTAAGGCGAGGACTTTAGCCATTAGGCTACTGTGCTGGGTCTCAGCCCAAACTCTTGGGACAGTGTCCACTGCTCTTCCAGGAACATCAATAGGAAGTTGGATTGAAAACAGAGCAGCCAGAACTCAAATCAGCAGCCATATGGGACCCAATATTAAAGGCAGGAAGTGGTTTTGTGACGTTGACAGGTTGTAGTGCCAAACCCTCTTGTGACGCTGACAGGTTGTAGTGGCTAGTTTATATACGCCTTCCAAAGTGAATTGGGTGGGACTTACTTTTATTCACTGGAAGTTTAAGACTGATGACTCTACAGAGTAATGTACCTTTTCCCACTTCTAATGTTACATGCAGTTCTTCCAATCAGCTCGCTAGGAGGGTATCAAGTTTGTTTTTAAGGGACTGACAACTTTGATTTTACTGTACATCTGCTTCCCTTTTTAACTTTAAATTGTTTGGACTTTCTAAATGTATTATTCAAGTTGTGACAAGAAAGATTACTTTCAGCTTGTTATTCTATGATGCACAGATTTTAAAGTTATCTATTTCCTTAAAACTTTATTTACATGAGGGGCAGAGACACACAGTTCCCATTCACTAGTTCGCTTCATAAATGCCCGTAATGGCCGAGACATGGCCAAGTCAAAGCTGTGAGCTGGTTTGCAGTTCAATCCAGGTCTTCCTCAAGACTGTTGGTAATCTAATTATTAGTCCCATTCCTGCTCTTTTCCATGTGTTCACTTGCAGGAAGCTAGAGTCAGGAGATGCAGCCAGGCACTGAAGACAGGTACTATATAGGCTATGTGGCCATCCTAACAGCTAGGCTAAATGTCAACACCTTGTCTTTTTTTTTTTTTTTTAAAGATTCATTCATTTTTTATTGAAAAGTCAGATAAACAGAAGCAAGATCTTATAATGATTCACTCCCTAAGTAGCCACAATGGCTGGGGCTGCGCTCATCCAAACCTAGGGTTCTCTTCCAGGTCTCCCACGCGGGTGCAGGGTCCCAAGGCCTTAGACTGTCCTTGACTACTTTCCCAGGCCACAAGCAGGGAGATGGATGGGAAGTGGGGCTGTGGGGATTAGAACCGGCACCCGTATGGGATCCCAGCGCATGCAAGGCAAGGACTTCTGTAGCTAGACTACTGCGCCACAGCCCCATTTTAAAGCACTTGAGAGCTCTATACCACAGGTTCTAATATTCTGTATCTTCACTGCTGTCCAACTCAAAACATTTTCTACTTTCCTTTGTGACTTCTTGGTTGACCCATGGGTTACTCACAACTCTTAATGTTCCTTTTCTTTGCTTAAATCCATGGAGGTTAGAACATTGTACTAACGTTTTTGAAAAATATTGAGGCTTTGCTTGATGGATCAATTCTGGAAAATGCTTCAGGGGCAATTAAAAACAATCAGTAGAAGAATTTGGCACAATGATTAAGACACTATCTGGTACACCTGCTTCCCGTATTGGAGCCATGACTCGACTTCTGATTCCAGTTTCCTTTGGAGGCAGTGAATGATGGCTTAAAGGATTTAGGTCCCTGCTATTCACACTAGAGACCTAGAATGAGTTTCAGACTCCTGGCTTAGTCCCTCCCAGGTGGTATAGGCATCTGAGGAGTCAACCAGTGAATGGGTTATGTATTTGTTTCTCAAAAAAAAAAAATTTGTTTTTTAGAAAGAACAGGTATACTACTGGTTACGAGTACAATGCTTTACATGATAAATAAACTAGGTAGATTGTGTTGTTCACATTTTCTACTTGTTAACATCTGTTCTGGAGACAAATGTACTAAAAATATTTTTGCAAAAATTAAACTGTGTAACATATTAGTGGAACAAAAAGAAAGCCCCCCACTTCACTCTATGGCTCCTATTCCAAATGTTTTCCTTGCATTTTTGACAGCCAAGCCACTGAGTAGCAGACACAGTGCACAGATGGCCAGTAATGTGTGTTCTGAAAGTTACCCACACACTTCTTGCCCTGCACCCCACTGCAACAGCCACAGACCTTTTAACACCCTTAAAGAAACCAAAAAGCAGGAACTAGGTGTGTCTCATTGGCAATAAAGCCCAGAAACTGTGGAGATAAAATGCTCAGAACCCTGAACTCCGATGAAGAGGAAAATGCTTCAAGCACTACCTCTTTACTTCTAGAAGTTTCTCCCACCCTCCGGCATGACAGCTTAGAAGTGAGGATCCTTTTGGCGAGAGAATAACTATCAGGTGAGGGGGAACTACTTCAGCCTCCCCAGCAGCTTCACACACAGCTAGTCTTTCTCAGAAGATCAGCCTGCAAAAGAACCATCACTGCCCTCTTAGCAGCACGGGCTTCACGTGTGAGTGAGACAAGATCACTGGACTGAAATAACTAGAAAGCTCTGTAACACAATAAAATCTCCAGCTGAAGGACATTTTTTTTTTTTTACAAAAAACAAAAAAGCAAGTTTTTATTTCAATCCTGTTGAGGGTGTGCGAGGGATGAAAAACACAAAATAAGGAGAGGGGTTTCTTCATATAATACAACATCAAGGTCAACTACAAGGAGTAACACTCATTCCATCCCACCCCCACCAATTCATCCATAGGTTCTGAGGCCAGCTGAGCATAGATGGGACAAGAGTTAAGACACTATTGGCACAGGCACGTGGCCAATGCACCGAGAGATGGAGAGAGTTTCTCAGGGAGCAAGGCCCTGGGCCTCAGCTGCTTCCTAAGTGGAAGGAGAACAAGAAAACTTTGGCTCATCTGAAAAACAGATGAAAGCAGCAAGAAGCTAGCTTTCAAAAATCAGGGTTACACTAGTTGGACTCTCCAGATCACAGACTGCGGTGAAGGGAGTCAGGATGTCTATGCTGTCCATCTGTGCTCTTCTTCCCTTTTGCCTAGATTCCTCCTCTGCAGGCTGCTGAGAGCTGGCCTGCTTTCATTTTTGGAAGGCAGGGGAGTAAGTGCTTATTCTGCCCTTGCTGCATCTAGACTCTTGAAGGACTGGTTTCTTGGCACTAAAGAGACAGAAGCCAACAAACAGGGCCAGCTCCTTTTGTGTCGGCTTGAAAGAGCCCTTGTGTTGGCAAAACTGCTTCCGCAGTTTCTGAGCCTGCGCTGGACACTCTCCCAGAACTGTTCAGACAGTTGCAATTGTGTGACATGTGGATAGCTCTTTCTAGAGCTGGATTAGCGACCCATCTTTGGAGATGGGATGAGGAGAAGAGAAGAGAAGAGAAGAGAAGAGAAGAGAAGAGAAGAGAAGAGAAGAGAAGAGAAGAGAAGAGAAGAGAAGAGAAGAGAAGAGAAGAGAAGAGAAGAGAAGAAAGAGAAGTACTAGCAGGAGAACTGGGGGACAGCAAGGCAGTTTATGTTACAGGTTCAAGCCTGTGGATTGTGACCAGAGCTACCTAAAGCTCCAAAGAAAGGGAATTCTCTGGCACAACATGAACCAGTGAAAAATTTTAGTGGCAACCCTGTAGTTCACAAAAACCACAAGACAAATATATATTAAAAAAAAAAAAAAAAAAAAAAGAAAAAAAGACCAAACTGAGTGAGTAGAGTCCAGCCCTCCATCTTAAATCTGAATAAAATGAACTCATTTAGCTAATACTGCTGCAAATACAATCATGAAGACAGATGGAGCTACTGAAATGCACACTCAAACAGAGTGGGATTAAGTTGCCTATAACTGTAAATCCCAGGCACCTCCCTGTAAAAGTCACCCAAAAGACATCTTTGAAGACTTGGATTGATAGTGAGGGCCGCTGCCACCCCTCTTGCCCAGTACAGGATGGCCTAATGAGCAAGTGGCAAAAGAAAAAGTACTGATTTGGAAAAGCTAGCAGCTAAAGCCAGAAAGCAGGGTGAGGTCCGTGGGATCCAGGCCTGGGGGAGAAGCAAGAGAAGGAAGGGGAGCAGGCGGTGGGGGCCTGCTGTCATTTGGCTTTACAACTTGCCCCTGCCGTCCACTCCTCACAACTGCTCAATGCAGTTATTGGTCTGTCAGAGGGGATGTAATGCCCAGACCAACTTTTATTGAGCTTATGCAGCTAACAGTCTTGTAAACAGTGCCAATTGACAAAGTTTAGCTGAATTTTACAGCTTATGCCCATTAAAAACACCTCTCTGAGATTAAAAACAAAACAAAATTAAAAAAAAAAAAAACAAAGTAAACAAATAGAGAATGAAGAGACACATCTCTAGTCTTCCAGGAAGGCAAAATAAAACGCCCCGTGGCTTGGTCCCAGGCATTCACCATGCCTAGAGTGCCGCTGCTCCCACCAGTCTCCTCTCCCTCCCAGTGGCTAGGTAGGGGTGAGGAGAAGGGTCATCTTGGGCATGCTGCAAACACAGCATTTGCTGGTGTTGACACCCTCCTGGGGCTGTGGTAGCAGACTGCTGTTGTCAGGAGCCCATTTCCTGGGCATAGCAGAGGGGCCCAGGTCCTCAAGGCAGCCTGAGATGGCAGCCCATACACCTCAGCAGGGGGACTGTGCCCCTCTCTCCAGTGCGGTTCAGCATTGAGGTTGTCTATTACCGGTCGGTGAGAAAACCTGAGCTGTTTTCCTCGTGGCTGTCCCTCCGTTCCCCAACTTGGGGAGTAGTGGAAGGGAACAGGGGAGGATCACTGAGGGGGCAGGGGGATACCCCGGGGATCGGTGACTTGGCCCTCTTGCAGGTTCTTCACCAGTTGTGCAAGCCAGCGTTTCGTGGTGGTGTCATCTTTTAGCACCTGGGCGAAGGTTGTATCCTTCAGCTGGTCAGGGAGGCACTGCCTGAGTGCTTCACGTGCCCTACATCAGAAACAAACAGACCAACCAGGGAGACCAACACATCAACCCACATTTTGGGGAGAAGGAAAAAAACCCCCTTCTTAGATACATACAGTATCCTGGTAATCTATGGTTCTGTTAAGTTACATTAAGGAGCACTTTAAAATTCTCTAACATTTCTATTATGAAGACGCTCAGACATCTTTAAGATTTGTACCTGTGAGCATTCTTAAAATAATACCCCCAATATAGAATTTCAAGCAAAAGCAAAATGGAATAATATATGCAACAGTTTACTTCGATTCAAACTGCTTTCTGATTTATTACAGTAAATGTTGATAAAATACTTTTGTTGAAATATATGGGTCATAGTAAATGAAAGATTTCAAAAATCAGCACAGTAACAGGGGATAGGACCTCACTTATAATATGAAAAATTCTTTGCTAAATTAACAATTATTATTACAGAAAATTCTTATCTCCTATTTTAAAACTTTAATGAGATAAGCAATAAAAACATTAACTATGGTAGCAGCATTATCAGATGAACTTTTAAATGTTTCATTTTCTTTGAAAAGATGACCAGCAGAAAGTCAAATCTGAAAATCTAAAAAAGGCAAATGTTAACTATTGAAAGGTCTACTTATAGGGTTATTCTACACACAATTATATAGCTCTTGTACTCCGATTTGTTTTCATTGCACAAGTAGAATTTTAAATACATTTTCAGGTTTGGTGAAAGCAGGAACTACTGAAGAACAGAACAAAATGGTTAAAAGCAGGTGGGGCTTATATAACCTCAGTGATGGGAGACTGTGTTCACATTCAGTCAAGTTATCCCTTTTCCTAGGAATACAGAAATCACTTCACAATGTGGTTTAGCAGAATCTGAGCAAGTGGCTTTCAGCATAAATTATGGATTTGCAAGCAAAAGGTCAAACATTTCTAAAGTGCATTATATCTACAATGTATGCTTTCTGGCAGAAAGTTTATGAACACAGGAAAACAATTAGCTCCAAAGACTTACAGGAATCAAGGAGAGAATTGGAAACAATTTTAAGAGTCCTCTGGGTTGTGTTTCTTTCTAAGAGATCTTTGAAAGTATACCTCTCTTTCTGATCAAGTGGAGTTACAATAGAAAGCTGAAACCACAGGAGTAATACATCTGAAGGTTTCCCTTGAAATTGTCTGGACTCTGGAATTTTAGAGTAGCATACAAAGTTAGAGTGGAAGATACAAGTCTGATGGATCTTTAAACTCAGTACTTCATATTTTAAAAGGAACTTAAATTCTGTCCTATATAAACTATAGCTTTATAATTGCCCTGTCCTAAAGATGCAGAAGCTACACCAGGAGAAAGCAATACAACTCAACAGAATATTTCCCTAAGAATTTCTACAAATCCTGTAAATGTTTACCTGGGGTTATCTGAGAGACGAAGATAACATCTTACTACATGCTTCAGCAGACGGGCAGAAGGCTCTTTGGACAGCTGCAGGACCATTTTACCCTGTTTCTCCCGAATATGGGGAGGGATAGAAAAAAATATACAAAAACAATTTGAATTGACATCAGATCTGACAGTCTGAGAGTCATTCCACAAGGTTCCAGACTGTTATTTCTAGTTAGAAGAGTGAGGTGAGGCTGTTTACTGCCAATTACAAAGGGATGTAGTTGCAAAAGGGAAGAATGAAAGAACTCACCAAGATCATGGCAACATGGGAGAAACGCTCATAAGTCTGACATATGTAAGCCAACCCAGTGTCATCCAAGAGAATCTTCTGGAGGATAAATGTGGCAACCTGAAGGAAACAAAATGAAAGAAACCCAAAAGTTGTTCAGTTTTCTGAGGAATGACTATCAATCAGAAAATTGAACAAGTAGAAACTTTAGTACATTATACACAATTTATCATTCAAATATGTAACCATATATACACATGAAAAAAAATTTTGTGTTCACATCCTTTTTATTTTTAATTTGTTTATTTTCATCTACGTGAAAAGCAAAGTGGCACAGAGAAACCTTCCATCTGCTGGTATACTCTCTAAATGCCTGAAACAGCCAGGGCTGGACCAAGCTGAAACCCTGAACTCCATCCAGGTCTCCCACATAGGTGTAGGATGGATATATGTTATTATAGCTATAGATTTACACATTCACTATTATGTCCTTAGTATTTCTAGCAGTAGAAGCACTGAAAAAAAGCAGAACAACTTATGATTTCAAATTTCCAAAAGTGGCACATGAGGATGTTAGGTTCCCAAATGCTCGTAAAAAGACAGAAGCTCTCCTATATATGAATACAGAATATCTTAATATTCTTAGGCACAAACAAAGCTATATCCCAGAGCAACAATTTCAATGCTACCAGCAACTGAGCTTCTTTTGGAGGCTTAAACCACCACTCCCCCAAAAAACAAACACCAAAACCAAAACGACTGGACACAATGAATCCCACCCTGCCTGATAAATGAAATGTTAGCAAGAGGTTAAAAGCTGTTGTCAGGTGTGGTCATTAGGGGTGTGAATAAGCAGAAAGATTTCTCTGTTTTCCCTTTCTTTGTAACTTCTTCAAAAAAAAAAAAAAAAGTGGCTGTCAAAATCGGAAACGTCTTTGAATGTATAATTAAGAGAAGGACAAATTGTTGTTTGTTACCAAACAAGGAACTCACATATTCCTTTAGGCATCTAAAGAGAGCTATAAACTCAATGCTCAGAAAAATGCCACCAAGAAACTAATTCAAGGAACTCAGGTTAAGAGCATTTATTCTCCAGGTAATAGGAAACCCTCTGAATATTTGAAATAAATCATGATAACTCAGAGCTTTAAGAATATATTTTAGCACATTCAATAATAGAGAATAGCCAATTAGGATGTAAAATTTAGTATTCTGTTTAAATATGGACAATCTTTTATTTTTTAAAAAAATTCATAAATTCATTTATTTTTGGAAGGCTGATTTACACAGATGGAGAGATAAAGAGCTCTTCCATTCATTTGTTCATTCCCCAGAAGGCCAAAACAGAATAAGATGAAGCCACAAAGGGGTTAATGTTGGGGTATAGCATAAAGGGATTTTGTGACCCTAGGGCAGCGAGCATAGGATTACAATTGACAGGATAATGTTTGTATGAGAACAACCCAGTGGGTACCATTCCTATAGCTAAATGGATATCATCTGTATGAGAACAGCTGAGTGGACAGCATGTGAATGAGAACACTTGGTGGAATATACAAAACAAAAGAGTTCCAAACAAAAGTATAGAAACAGTTGATGGGCTCCCTTATCCTATATGACCCTCAGTGTATAAAGTCTGATGCCACTAATAAACTTTCGACCACCAGTCAGAGTCCAAGTGTGTTATTATCAGCTCCGTGCACCAAGTCCATTGCTGCAGGACAGTGAGTATAGTGGGGTAAGTCTCTTCTTAGGGACTCCGGCATCATGTACTGAAGTGCCTGGGTTCAAGTTCTGCCTCTGCACTTCCTGGGAGGATTTAGGTGATGGCTCAAATACTTGAGTCCCTGCCATCCCCATGAGACTTGGATGGAGTTAACAGCTCCAGTCTGGCCTAGCCCATATTGACTGTTGTGGACATTCAGGAAATGAACCAGGAGACAGACAACTCTTTCTGTCGCTAAACTTTTCACATATGTATAAATAAATAAATGAATTTAAAAACTTTCAAAAGCTGAAAATAAATGACAACACATACACAGACAAAATCAAAACAAAAATTTCAAAACTCTAAAGTCGAAGCCCCACTTTTATTTGCAGCAAGACTGACACTCAGACATTCTTGGGCATTTCTTTTTTTTTTTTTTTTTTTTTAGCTCTCTGTATCGGGAGAACATGTAACATCTGTGTATTTATATCTGCCTTATCCATTTCATTCAAGAACATGTCCCCAATTGTAACCACTTTGCAGTAAATGACAGCATTTCATTCTTTTCTAACAGTTGAATAATATTCAATCATACACACACACGCTTTATTTACTCATCTGTTAATGAATACTTTAGTTCCATATATCTTGGGTTTTGGCCATTTAGATATTTATAATATTATTTGCAGGCCACATAAAACTGTCAACTTTGTAAATCTACTGAGTTTCAAGTCCTCTCTGTGGTTGCCTTGTCAGGGTTATGCTCCATGATTTGTGGGCCTTATATGGCCCAGAAGGCAGGCATTCCCCAGCTCGAACACCAATCCTCAAAACAAAAAAAAATGCTACATACAGAAAACTGTGCAGACAAATCCCAAGAAGAGGGAACAAATGATAATTATCAACACATTCAAAGAAACTGAAATTTGAATTCAGAAACATTTAAAAAAGGAGAAAAAATTCATAAAAGAGATATAGTCATAACAGCAGAAACTAAGGGGAGGTGGGAAAGACTGAATATAAAGTTAAATTGAGAGTGAGTGGTTTGGCCTAGCAGTTAAAGACAGCTGCACACTACATCAGTACCTAGGTTAAGTTGTAGTTGTGCTCCAGACTGCGGCTTCCTGCTAGTGAGTCCCCCGCCCAGCAGCAGATGAGGGCTGAAGTGGTCAGGCTTCTGCTAGGCCTTCAGAAAACCCAGAGTGAGTTCACGGCCCCTGGCTTTGCTCTGACATAGCTATGGCCCTTATAGGTATTTGGGGAATGAATTGGCAGATGGGAGCTTGCTCTAATTAATAATAGTCCTAAATAAAACTAGCTATAATCTGAGATTAAACAACATAAACTAGTTTTAGAAGGACACTTCTAACAGTGGGTTACCACTGAGACTGGTGTACGAAGAGGCATTTTTAAATTTGTATACATGTTGGTACTATTTGAAATTTTTACAGTATGTATCTATTGCATATTAAAAAAAAAAAACTCTTAATTATCTGAAAAGCAGTTACAGAGAAGGGAGGGAGGGGAGAGAAAAACAGACACAGAAAGATGTTCATCCATTGGTTTACTCCCTGGATTACTGCAATCATTGAAGCTGAGTTGAGCCAAGAGCCTCCTCCAGATTGCCAAGGAGGTACAAAAATCTAAAGACTGGAGCCATCCTCCACTGCTTTCCTAGGCCATAAGTAGAAAGTAGATCAGCAGTGGAGCAGCCAGGACACAATCAGTGCTCATATGGGGTACTGGCACGATAGGAGGAAAACTTAGCTTCCTATGCCACAGAATCCACCACATAAAATACTCAATGCCAAGTTAAAATCATTTCAATGTGGGCCCAGTGCAATAGCCTACTGACTAAAGTCCTCGCCTTGCATGCAAAGGGATCCCACATGGGTACCGGTTTTAATACTGGTTGTTCGGGCCCGGCGCTGTGGCCTAGTGGCTAAAGTCCTCACCTTGAACGCCCCGAGATTCCATATGGGCACTGGTTCTAATCCCAGCAGCTATACTTCCCATCCAGCTCCCTGCTTGTGGCCTGGGAAAGCAGTCGAGGATGGCCCAAGGCTTTGGGACCCTGCACCTGCGTGGGATACCCGGAAGAAGTTCCTGGTACCCGGCTTTGGATCGGCATAGCACCGGCCATTGCGCTCACTTGGGGAGTGAATCATCGGATGGAAGATCTTCCTCTCTGTCTCTCCTCCTCTCTGTATACCTGACTTTCCAATAAATAAATAAATAAATAAATAAATAAATAAATAAATAAATAAATAAATAAATAAATCTTAAAAAAAAAAACCTGGTTGTTCTACTTCCCCATCTAGTTTTCTGCTTGTGGCTTGGGAAAACAGTGGAGGATGGCCCAAACCCTTGGGACCATGCATCCACATGGGAGACTTGAAAGAGGCTCCTGGTTCTTGGCTTTGGATCAGCTCAGCTCTGGCCACTTAGGGAGTGAACCAGTGCATAGAAGATCTTTCTGTCTCTCCTCTCTATAAATCTGATCTGCCTTTCTAATAAAAATAAACAAATCTTTAAAATATACAACAACAACAAAAAACATACAAAAGAGCTACTTAAGAAAGACAAATTCACCTACAAGAGAAAAAATTAGGGTGACTAAGTTTTCAATGCAGTATTTTTTAAAAAGATCTATTTATTTTTTATTGCAAAGTCAGATATACAGAGAGGAGGAGAGACAGAGATCTTTCATCAATGGTTCACTCCCCAAGTGAGCGCAACGGCCGGTGCTGCACCAATCCGAAGCCAACAGCCAGGAGCCTCTTCTGGGCCTCCCACATGGGTACAGGGTCCCAAAGCTTTGGGCTGTCCTCAACTGCTTTTCCAGGTCACAAGCAGAGAGCTGGATGGGAAGTGGGGGCTGCCGGGATTAGAACCGGTTCCCATATGGGATCCTGGTGGGTTCAAGGCAAGCACTTTAGCTGCTAGGCCTCCATGCTGGGCCCTTCAATGCAATATTATATGTCAGAAGCCCACAGAGCTGACTTGCCAAATGGAATAAGAATTTAGCAGCTGGTAGTGTTGAAGGTTAAAGTGCACAGTAAACAGAAGCTCAAGTGCATGTACTTTATTAATCAAAACTAAACAAAAAAGCCCTTCGGAATTCTACACTTATTGTGCCTGTGGAATGAGAAGTGGTTTCAGAGGAAAGGAATACATTTAGTGTCTAACTTGATATCCTTTGGAATAATCTGGGGTGTTTAAACGATCATTTTATAACAATTTATGTTCAAGAGAGAAAATATATTCACACAAGACTCAAAACTCTAGAGAGGCACAAAATGATGCCGCAACCACAAAAGATCAGCTTGAAACTCAACACAAAGGACACTTTAAGTAAAGCACATACCGTTTTAGAGAGTTCACTTCCAGATTCCATAATGCGCAAACACAAAGGGATAATTTCCGTTGTCAGCAAAAAGTTGATTACCTCTTGCTCATCTGTTTTTACTAGGGCCCCTACAGAAAACAAAAAAAAACTGTTACAGGGTTGGTGTTTCCGGTTAAAATTAATTTTGTTCACCAAATGGGTTGTGGGATTCAAACTAACACAAACTGTGGCCTTGACACCAGAATCCCATGCCAATTAAAAATAAATAAAATAAAATAACATGATTTGATTTCATCAGCTCCACTGAATGATACCAAGTTTGCCTATCACGTCGGTGAGCTGCAGTCAATCATTTACATAATATTTCTACCCCACTTAGAAGACAATGTTGTAATATTAACAGTCCATTCTTTGCTTATGTTTGGTAAGAGAATCTTCATCAGTATTAAAATACATTCAAGAGAAAAACAATTTTAAATAAGAACTAAGGTCACATTTGAATAGTATTCCTGATGCCACAACATTTTTCCCTTTAAAACATATCCGTTTTTTTTTTAAAGATTTATTTATTTTTATTGGAAAGGTGGATAAACAGAGGAGGAGAGACAGAGAGGAAGATCTTTGGTCTGATAGTTCACTCCCCAAGTGAGCGAAATGGCCGGAGCCGAGCCAATCTAAAGCCAGGAGCTCCTCTGGGTCTCCCATGTAGGTGCAGGTTCCCAAGGCCCTGGGCCATCCTCGACTGCTTTCCCAGGCCACAAGCAGGGAACTGGATGGGAAGCAGGGCCACAGAGATTAGAACTGTAGAGCATATGGGATCCTGCTGTGTGCAAGGTGAGGACTTAAACCACTACATTATCGTGCCGGGCCCCAAAAGACCTGTTTTTTTATCTCATAAGAACACAATAGATAATTCCCAACATTCATTCCAATTCCAATAATTCTGTGGGTTTCTAACAACTGACACAATTAAATGACATCACTGACCAGGTGATAGAAATAGTATGGCACTAACTTCTTCATTCTAGGAAGCACTGTTCTACTGAAGCATGGATCTCAGTAACCAAAGCTCTACTGGTAATAAGGAATGTTATTTGCTTTACACAGAACAGGCAACCTACAAATACATCTAAACTCCACAGCAACCAGTATGAACCCAATACGGCCTAAGGTGGATGTCAAATTGTTATTTTATTTAGGTTTTAAAAAAAAGACTTATTTATTTCTACTGTAAAGTGAGATATACAGAGAGCAGAAGAGACAGAGAGGAAGATTTTCCATCCCCTGATTAATTCCCCAAGAGGCTGCACTGACTGGTGCTAAGCCAATCCAAAGCCAGGAGCTGGGAGCTTCCTCCAAGTCTCCTCTGGGGGTGCTGGTTCTAAAGGCTTTGGGGCCATCCTCAACTGCTTTCCTAGGCCACAAGCAGGGAGCTGGAAGAGAAGTGCAGCAGCCAGAACAGGGACCAGAACTCATATGGGATCCTGGAGTGTGCAAGGCAAGGACGTCAGCCATTAGGCTACTACACTGGACACTTTATTTAGGTTTTATACAGATTTATAATCCATTTAACTTTTGCATGGAGCTAATGGGTGTGGACTGTGGTTTTTTTTTTCTTAGACATCCAGTTGTTTTAGTACCATTTACTGAAAAAACTATCCTTTCTGTACTAAATTGTCTTTGCACCTTATAAAAACTCAGTTTACCATGATTGTGTGAGTCTACTTCCAGACTCTAATCCTAATCCATTAATGTACAAATCTATCTCTACACTAATACCATACTGTTTTTACTACTGTAGTTTTCTGGTTGTGGATTTTGCTCTTTTTTTTTCTTAATTGATTTTACACATTTGAAAGGCAGAATTATAGAGAAACAGGGAGATAGACAGAATCGTCCACCTGATGGTGCACTCCCCAGATGACTACAATGGCCTAGTAGAGTCAGGAGCCAAGCACCCCATCTAGATTTCCCAAGCAGATGGCAGGAAGCTGGATCAGAGGCAGAGCAGTTTGGGACTGGCGCTCATTTTGGATGATGGCACAACCCGTGACAGTATAATCTGTTGGGTCAAAATGCCAACTCCATTCTTTACTACTCAAGAGAATGAGATTTATGTGAAACAGGAGATACCTTATTTTCTAAAGTAAAAGGCATTTACTTTGTATGCATAAACATTTACTTCAGGACAGAAAAATTTAACTTTGTGAAGTAAACTTGTATTGCAGAACAACTGAGAAAATCATCCACAATAATAGTAAGTCCAAATTCAAACTCTTATTCATCTAATACTTGCTGCACTGTTAAGCCTTTTTACACCTTAAAATTCTAGGAGCCTGGTGTGATAGCCTAGTGGCTAAAAGTCCTTGCCTCACAGGTGCCAGGATCCTACTTGGTCGCTGGTTCTAATCCTGGTGGCCCTGTTTCCCTTCCAGCTCCCTGCTTGTGGCCTGGGAAAGCAGTCGAGGATGGCCCAAAGCCTTGGGGCCCTGCACCTGCGTGGGAGACTCAGAAGAGGCTCCAGGCTCCTTGTTTCGGATCAGCACAACTCCAGCCACTGTGGCTTTTTAGGGAGTGAACTATCAGACGGAAGATCTTCCTCTCTGTCTCTCCTCCTCTCTCTATATCTGATTGTCCAATCAAAAAAAAAAAAAAACAACTTATTAAAACACCCAACAGAGACAGCAGAATAAGGACAGTAGGCCTGCCTAACTTACCAATAACTCCCAGGCTGGTGAGCCGAAGATATTCAAATGGACGTGTTTTGCTGACAGTGTGCAAAAACGGGTACAAAAAAAGTGGGATGTGTGCTGCAAGAAATGCTGACCTGGAAGAAAAACAATTCACATTCAGAGTCAAGAGTAGACTTCTCAGGTTATTCAACATTCAAATTTCCAGGTGGTTACAGAACATGCAAGAGCAAGGAATATTTAATAGAGAATGGCAAATGTCATCATTATAACTACTGGTTCTTTTTTTTTATTGATCACATTTCATTTTGTGACATAGTTTCATAGGCTCTGGGACTCCCCCAACCCCTCCCTGTGCCCTCTCCCCATGATGGATTCCTCTACCTTTTTTTTTTTTTTTAATATTGTTGTTAACATTGTATTATGTGATACAGTTTTATAGGCACTGGGGATTCCCCCCGATTCCTCCACCTTATCGCAACATTACAGCTCAAATCTAGTCAAGATTCTTTCATTTCAAGCATAGAGTCCAGCATCTTATTGTTCAGACACATTCAACAGTTTTTTGGGGAGACCATCTCTGGTCTGAAGGTTAAGCTGGCAGTATATCATCCCAACCACTTAAAAGCCCCAACATAATATCAACAACAATTTACAACATTATGGAGTTAATTGACATGGTATTGAGTAACCAATATTATTAACTACTGGTCTTAAATGGAGCAGCTTTGCCTCTAATGAAACATGTACTATTATCCGGAAACATTTTGGGCTATCATATCCAAGGATTACTGAAAGCTACTGAGTGGAGGCCTTACGGGATGCCAATGTTACATCCCATAATGCACAGGATAGCACTCTCCCTCTGTCTCCCTCCTCCTACAACAAAGACTTACTTCGCTCAAAACGTCAATAGTATCAACACTGGGGCCTAGTAAGATGGCCTGATTGGCTAATTGTCTGCCTTGAAAGTGCCAGGATCCAAAATGGGCACCAGTTTATGACCCAGCTGCTCCACTTCCCATCCAGCTCCTGGTTTGTGGCCTGGAAAAGCAGTGGACGATGGTTCAAAGCCTTGGGACCCTGAGCCCACATCAGAGACTTGGAAGAAGCTCCTGACTTATACCTTCAGATAGGCCATTTGAGGAGTGAACCAGTGGGCAGAAAATCTTTCTCTGTCCCTCGTCTCCATAAATCTGCCCTTCAAATAAAAACAAATATTACTAAAATATTATTTATTTGAAACACACAGAATAGAGATATGACATCTACCAGTTCACTTCCCAAGTAATGAGCACAAGAGATGAGAGTAGACCAGGGTGAAGCCTACGGCTGGGAAATCAATCTAAATCTCCCATCTGGAGGAGGGCTGCAAACACATGAGTCACAATGTGCCAATTTCCAAGGTGTACATTAGCAGGAAGCTGGAACTGGCAGTAGAGTTGGTTTTCAGATCCAAGTGTCTTAATCACTGTGCTGAATTCTGCACATGCTTTAAAAAAAAAGTTATTTATTTTACTTGAAAGAATTATAGAGAGATAGATCTTTCCATTGGTTTATACCTCAAATGGTTGCAATGGTTGTAGTTGGCCTATGCAGCTGACCTGAAGCTGGAAGTCAAGTACCTCCTCTAAGTCTTTCACATGGCCACAGGATCCAAGGCCACTGACCAACCTCTGCTGCTTTCCCAGGTCATAAGCAGGAAGCTAGATTGGAAGCAGAGCAGCCAGAACTCGAACCAACACCCTTACGGGATGCCAATGTTACAGGTGGAGGGCTACACTATTGTGCCAACCACTGTACAAGCCTTTTAAAATTTGAAAGGCAGGGCCTGGCGCAGTAGTCTAGTGGCTAAAGTTCTCGTCTTACATCCCAGGATCCCATATAGGCGCTGGTTCTTATCCCGGCAGCCCTGCTTCCAATTCAGCTTCCTGCCTGTAGCCTAGTAAAGCAGTTGAGGATGGCCCAAAAACTATGGAATCTGTACCAGTGTGGGAGACTCAATAAAAGCTCCTGGCTCTGGATCAGCTCAGCACCAGCTGCAGCCACTTGGGGACTGAATCAACGGATGGAAAATCTTTGTCTCTCCTCCTCTCTCTCTATATATATCTGACTTTGCAATAAAAATAAAAAATAAATAAAAATTGAAAGGCAGAAGAGGGGTCGGGAAGATGATTATTCTATTCACTGGTCCAATTCTCAAATGCCCATATCAGCAGCAACTGGGTCAGGTCAAAGTCAGGAAAGTACTCAAGGTATCATGTGCTGTTTCTGGGATGCACATTAGCAAGAAGCTGGATCAAAAGTGCAGTTGGGACTGGAACTAGGCACTCTGATAAGGTACCAAGGAGTCCCACCTGGAACCTTAACTACTGTGTGAAATGGCTGCCTCATCAAAGCTGCTCTTTTTAGTTCACTGCTACATATTGGGTAAAAAGTAAGTTAGCATCCTAAAGATTCACACCCACACACTGCCTGCCCTTCTCTCATCATTCAGCAAAAGGTTAAGGATATATTCAGTATACACCTCCTCTAACGACTTGCTTTAAGCACTTACCTGGTTTCTGGGTGTGAAGCCACACATTGCAGCAATGCCAGAGCATTGCAAACTCTGTTAGACTGGTGTGCTGTCAAGGTAGGTGGGTTGATAGATGGATAAATATTTACAATTTCCTAAAAACAAAACAAACAAAAAACAAAGCTGGAAATGAGTACCAGGTAAGAAATAACTATTCCCACATAATTAAGGGGAAAAAAAAAACCCACCACCCACAGAAACTCCAATACTCCCAAATCTCTTAATTCTACAGATGCCAGTAGAACTGAACCAAGAAAAGCACAGAAACAAACAACGTCCCTATCCTTTCACTGCAGACACACTTGACTAAGTAGTTAACACAGTTCGGTTAATATGGCTCTAAGGGTTTTTCTACAAGGAATTCTGTGGTGGCAGCTATGGCTTTCCATATTTTCTTCTTGTATCTTGTAGCTACTGAAGTTTTTACTTGAAGGATCCCTGGATTTTTTCCAATTCTTGTTGCCAGAAACTTACTTTTCACAATTTAAAAGTTGTTAACAATGCAACCATGAGCAGGAATTGTTATTAAATCAATATCATACCTCACAAAGAGGTCTGAGTTCAGTTAGGTAGCAAATTCCAAAAAAAGGGGGCTATAGGAACATTAGTCTATGAATGAAGATATGCGCACAAAACAGACTATATCAAAAAGATCTGTTGACCTTAATTTACTTCTATATTTTTAATAAAGAGACAGACGCATTCCCATCTGTTGATTCATTTTCCAAATGTCTGCACTGCTAGGACTGGGCAAAGCTGGAGCAGCCTACTATGCAATCCAGATCTACACACATGGCAGGAAGCTAGTCAGGCCCTGGAGCTGGATATTGAATCGAGGCACTTCAAAAGATGTGGGATACTGGCATCTAACTGTTATATTAACTTCCATTTATTTATGAATTAAAAATGCAGAGTTATAAACAAAGGAGGGAGGGAGAGATTTCTTTTGTCGACTCAACACCCTAAAAGGTTATAATGTCCAGGGCATGGCCAAGCCAAAGCTAGGAGTTTCATCTGGAAGAAACATGTTCTGCTGCTTTCCAGGTCTCACCACAGCGAACAGTGCAGCAATTGTGACTGAAATTGGAGCTCATAACCCACTGTGTCACAACAATGCCCCCCTCCTTCTCTGTATTTATTTAAGGTCTTGGGTCCTAGTATATATTTTTTTTAAGATTTATTTTCTTTTATTGAATAGTTAGGTTTACAGAGAGAAGGAAAGACAGAGAGAAAGATCTTTTAGCCGCTGGTTCACTCCCCAGGTAGCTGCAATGGCTGAGCCAATCCCAAAGCCACGAGTTAGGAGCTTCTTCTGGGTCTCCCATGCAGGTTCAGGGTCCCAAGGCTTTGAGTCATCCTCTACTGCCTTTCCAGGCCACAAGCAGGGAGCTGGGTGGGAAGCAGGTTACCCATATGGGATCCTGGCACATACAAGGTGAGGACTTTGGCTACTAAGCTACTGCACCGGTCCTTCTTCTAGTTATTTTAATTGTAAAATCTGACATAGAAAATGTTCCCTTAATGATAATTTATTGGTTATATGCAGTAGGAACTGGAATGCAAAACTATACTTCACAGATTTGGGAAGTTAATTATCAGATATTTGAGAGGGGCCTGACATGGTAGCCAGGATTGAAAATCTTGTGGATGTATAAAAATTTTGAAAACAGATATCTGGGCCTACATCAGACTGACTTAAATTAATTTCTTGGAAAGAATCTGAGAATCTGCATCTTAACACTTTAGACTTCTCTAAAACAGGTTCTTCTAAAACCAGTGTTTGAAGAATCACCCTAATGTCTTCAGAATGATTTCAGCAAAAGCAGAGAAATACACTAGTGTAAGAATAGGACTGGGGCCCGGTGGCGTGGCCTAGTGGCTAAAGTCCTCACCTTGAACGCCCCGGGATCCCATATGGGCGCCGGTTCTAATCCCGGCAGCTCTACTTTCCATCCAGCTCGCTGCTTGTGGCCTGGGAAAGCAGTCGAGGATGGCCCAATGCTTTGGGACCCTGCACCTGTATGGGAGACCTGGAGGAAGTTCCTGGCTCAGGGCTTCGGATCAGCAAAGCACCGACTGTTGCGCTCACTTAGGGAGTAAATCATCGGAGTGAAGATCTTCCTCTCTCTCTCTCCTCCTCTCAGTATATCTGACTTTGTAATAAAAATAAATCTTAAAAAAAAAAAGAACAGGACTGTACTGCCATGCATGTACGTAGACTCACCTGTAAAAGTGCTGCAATTGTACCAAATGAATGCCACAGCATGGGTGCAAGGTCAGGGACAGATTCTCGTTTTTTACTCAACTCCAGCAAAGCATTTTCTCTTGTCTCAGGACTGGACAACTCGTTGATCCACTGATAGATCTTCTCTCTATCCACCTGAGCCAGTGCAGTAGGCACAGGCTTTAGATAAAAATAAGAAAGTAAAAATGAGCTTATTAGAGTCAATGTCTCACTTTCAAATAGTGCTTTGAAGGAAATATATGTTTCAAATAAATACAAGCCTAAAGATACACATCTGATAAACTCATCCAACCTCTTTGGCAATTACTGATGAAAACCTAATTCCATGTCTAGAAATCCATCCTGTAGGTTAATTGGATTGTATTAAAGTATGCAAATGTTTATTGTTAGATTTTTTTCCCCCTTAATATTTATTTTTATTGGAAAGGCTGATTTATACAGAAAAGGTAATAGAGAAAGATTTTCTGTCTGCTGGTTCTTTTTTTTTCTTAAGATTTATTTATTTTTATTGCAAAGTCACATATACAAAGAGGAGGAGAGACGGAGAAGAGGCTCTTCCATCCAATGATTCATTCCCCAAGTGCCCACGATGGCTGGCGCTGTGCCGATCCGAAGCCAGGAGCCAGGAACTTCCTTCCACGGCGCCGGGTCCTTTTTTGTGGTTTTTTGTTTGTTTGCTTTTTTAAAGATTTATTTTTACTGCAAAGTCAGATATACAGAAAGGAGGAGAGGCAGAAAGGAAGACAATGGTTCAATTCTAAAGAGGCCACAATGGCCAGAGATGAGCCGATGTGAAGGCAGATGCTTCCTCTAGTCATGTGGATATAGGGTTCCAAGACTTTGGGCCATCTCTACTGCTTTTCCAGGCCACAAACTGGAAGTTGGATGGGAAATGGAGCATCTGGGATACAAATCAGCACCTGTATGGGACCCTGGTGCCCACAAGGTGAAGATTTAGCTATTGAGCCATTGCACTGCTGTTGTTGTTGTCTGTTTGTTTAATGTCACAGATGGGGCAGCATCATGGCATAGCAGGCTAACTCCATCCAGAACTCAAGTACTTCAGTCATGATTTGCTGTTTCCCAACACAGGTATCAGCAAGAACTTGGATCAGAAACAGAGATGGGTTTGATCACGGAGACACTAGTAAGTAGTGCGGTTGCCTTAAGTGGCAGCTTAATGGGCAGTACCATACCACCCAACTGGTATGGATTTAAAAAAAAAAGAAAAATCCCTTGGCCCAGTGCAATGGCTAAATTGGTTAACTTCCCCTTACTGCTGGGATCCCATACGAGTGCCAGATTAATGTCCCATCTGTTCCACTTCCCATCCAGCTCTCTGCTTATGGCCTGGGAAAGCAGTAGAGGATGGCCCAAGTCTTTGGGACCCTGCATGCCCATGAGGGAGATCCAAAAGGGTTCCTGGTTTCAGATCGGCTCAGCTCTGGTCATGGTAGCTACTTGGGGAGTGAATCATCAAATGGAACATATTTCTGACTCTCCATCTCTCTGTAAATCTGCCTTTCCAGTAAAAATAAACATTAAAAAAAAATCCCTGTGCCTGTTACAGTTCTTTTAGATCATTTATTTGTTTAAAAGACAGAAAAAGGGGGACAGCAAAGTGGCACATTTGGCTTATCCTCTACCCTGTGGCCCTGGTTTCCCATATGGGTGTGGCTCGTGTCCCAACTGTTCTATTTCTAATTTGCTCCTTGCTTATTAACTGGGAAGGTAATGAGGAAGACTCTAGTCTTCGATTCACTCCAGTCATGTGGCCAATTGGGGAATGAACCAGCAAACAGATCTCTGTCTTTCCTTTTAAAATCTTTGTTAAAAATCTGCCTGTCAAGGGCTGGCGGCGGGGCCTAGCGGCTAAAGTCCTCACCTTGAACGCTCCGGGATTCCATATGGGTGCCGGTTCTAATCCCGGCAGCTCCACTTCCCATCTAGCTCCCTGCTTGTGGCCTGGGAAAGCAGTCGAGGATGGCCCAAAGCTTTGGGACCTTGTACCCATGCAGGAGACCTGGAAGAGTTCCTGGCTCCTGGCTTTGGATCAGTACAGCACCGGCCGTTGCGCTCACTTGGGGAGTGAATCATCGGCTGGAAGATCTTCCTCTCTGTCTTTCCTCCTCTCTGTATATCATTACAAAATGAAAATAAATACATCTTTTAAAAAAAACCTGCCTTTCCATTGTAAATTTCTATTTTTCTTTCTATTGTTGGGGAGTGAACCAGTGGATGGAAGATCTTCCTCTCTGTCTCTCCCTCTCTCTCTGTATATCTGACTTTTCAATGAAAAATAGTAAATCTTAAAGGAACTGCAATATTCTCCCCCATTTGTGAATTTCTATGATTCTACACACTTGTCAAACAGCCTTGTGATTAGTTAAGTTCCTTAACTTATTTGGAAAATAAAATGGGCAGATTAGAAAAATGACTATGATTGCTACCTCAGCTCTAAATTTTTAACAAATTCAAAGTGATTCCTATCTCTATGCCCAGTATTTTCCATTTCAGTTCCCAAAGCCATAAGGAATAAGAGATTAGAAAAAAAAAAAAAGAGAGATGAGATTGGGAATGGTCATCAGACTTAATCTACTGATATCCCTTAGAATGAAACTGCTTTTCTGAAATATGCTACAGCATGTCACAGGACTTATGAAGTTCTCCCTACAGCTAGATGTGACAGAACGATGGCCTAACTAACCTTTGCACAGAAAAGGAACAAAAATAACTGCCTTTGCTGAACAGAATAAAGTGTATGATGGACTTTTAGGGAACTTAATTTACACTGTGCAACCTGAATAATGGATTGCTATAAATGGAAGCTTGATTACATGCTTTTGGCTTGATGTGTATCATTTCAATTGTCTGAAAGACTGGACCACAAGAGGTTCTGCTAAATGCACTAAAATAGCACACATCTGAAGCCTTTTTAAAGTGTCTTGCCGTGATTTTCTAAAAGCCGTTTCATCATCCCCATCAGTGATACTCCTCAAGGAATTCTAGGCTTCTAAAGTACCACCGATAGAAGGCAAGAGATGGCTTCCCACCTGCTCCCAATAGCAAAAGAAGTACTATCAGTGCATCTACCCTTTCCATCCTGTTAAAAGATTGGCCCTTAAGAACTAGTGATTTTAGAAAATATTATCCCTATCAGACAAAGGAAAATACTGTTTTACAGTACTCTATCACTTGAAAAGCATGGGGCAAACAAGCACTACATTTTACCTTTAGGTCCCCTGTCTGCAGTCTTTTGGATAATCTCACAACCCAGTAACTAAAGGAGGCCTCAGAAACACTGCTCCAGCAACTCAGACCTATCCTAGTAGCACCCCACTGATCAGTGAATTCCCAATACTTCCACTACAACCAATCTGATTTGGGTGTGGCATCCTCTTAACTCTCCCGTGGCCCAGCAGCCACTGGTTAATTTACAATGAGTCCCGAACGCCAGGCCCCATCCCCAGCTACAAACTGATCTGATGCTAGCAGAACATGGTGTCTGGCACTTTGGAAGGCCAACACCCAGCACTTTTTTGGGCTCCTACGGCTATTGTTACCCACTGCAAAAAGAGACTCCAAATTGTGAGGCTATTTAGATAATTTTTTTTTCATCAGAAGATCAGATATACAGAAGGAGACACATACAGAGAGAGATATTCCATCCACGGTTTACTTCCCAAGCAGTTGCTGCAGCCAGAGCTGAGCCCGTCCAAAGCCAGGAGCCAGGAGCTTCTTCCAGGTCTCCCATGTCACGACACCACAAGTATCAGCAATGACAGAAAGTCTAGCATCCTATTGTCAAGATGTATTTGACAGTTCCGTTGGGAGTCCATCTTTTATTTGGGAACAGAGATGCATACTGCAAAATTTTTATTTTTATTTCTCACTATGCCAGTCTGCGTTATGCAGTTCCTCTAGATGAGTATGTGTACATAACATGTTTATATACACATATTGGTCTTGTATTTGGATGAAGGTTGCTTTATATCAGAAAGAATATATGATATTTGTCCTTTCTGATTAACTTAATTCACTGAGTGTAACAGTATCAAGTAGGGACCATTTTGTTGCAAATGGTAGAATTTCATTCTTTTTAACAACCGAATAGTATTCCACATAATAGATGTGACACAGCTTATTTATCCATTCCTCTTTTGATGGGCATCAGGGTTGTCTCCATGTCTTCATTATTATAGACTACACTGCTCTAATATAGCATTACAACTTACTTTATCATATGCAGATTTTATTTCCTTTGGATATAATCCCAGAAGTAGGATAGCTGGGTCATATGGCAAATTAATTTTCTGTAATCTTAGCACTCTCCATAGTGACTTACACAGTGGTTATACCAGCCTACATTCACCAAGAGTGAAGTAGGGTACTTTCTCCTCACATATACGCCAGCAGGTATTGTTAACCAGAGTTCTGAATGTGGAGCAATCTCACTAAAGTGGGTGGAACGTCAATGAGTTTTTATTTGTATTTTCCTGAGAGCTAGGGAGCCTGAGCTTTAAAAAGATTTATTTCTTTTTATCACAAAGTCAGATGTACAGAGAGGAAGATCTTCCATCCGATAATTCACTCCCCAAGTGCCTACAAAGGATGGAGCTGCGCAGATCTGAAGCCAAGTTTCTTTTGTTGTTGTTGTCTTTTGTTTGCTTGTTCTTTTTTTTTTTTTACATTTTATTATTATTGCTATCATTTTATGATACAGTTCCATATCCCCTTATCCCCTCCCCAATTCCCCCCCACCTAGTTTCTTTATATCATTACTAACATATACTTCTTCATACTCAGTCATATGTCCATTATTGCGGGCATGGACAATGGCAGAGAGTCCAGAATCCTATTGTCAAGATATAGTAAACAGTTTCAATGTAAGTCCATCTTTGTCTGCAAACAGAGATGCATACCACACTGCATCCTCACATCTGCATGTTAGTTTCCATTTTCACAACTACTGTACATTCCCTTAAATGAAAAGTCATGATACAAAATCAACAATAGAAAGAAAAATAGAAATTTACAATGCCATGAAGTTAAATGATGTTACTAAACATGACAGTCTCCATTACACAGTTACTATACATTCCCTTAAATGAAGAGCCACAAAACAAACTCAACATCCTGGAGAAAGAAGAAATTAACAA